TTACACTTTAGGCTTGTCCCCAGGAGTGCTAGCAGTGTGGCCGCTAGTGCTGACACATGGCCGGCTGGGGCTGTGCAGTGGGGTTCTCTTTCAAGACTCATTACTAATATGTCCCGTCGTGTTCTGCGACTCGGCCCCATCACACCACGTCTGAGTAGCAATCCTGGAAAATGGGAGTAGCTCGAAGGCTATGCTCCTGAAACACCGTGCATGCGAGCCCCTGGGGGTCCTATCAAACCTGGAGGTTCAACTTGGGTCTGGGCTGGGCTGCTGCTGTTCTAACAAGCTCCCAGTCGGCACCGCCACTGCTGCTTGTGGGAATGTGGGAAGAGCATGGGCATCGGGATCAGCCAGGCACGGGCTCTGAGCTTGACTTTGCCACTTGGTAGCTGTGTGATGTTGAGCAAGTTGCTTAACCTCTCTGAGCTTCAGATTTCTCATGGGGATCCCTTCAGCCTTTTAGGGTCTTTGTAAGATTTAGGGCTAGTGTGTGTAGATTTTCTTCCCACTTCTGGAGAGGAGGGGTGAGATTCATTCTCCTGTATCGCCTTCACTGCAGGTTCGGCGGAGACACATTTTTCTTTCCTCAAGTAGCTAATCTCCTATTGCAGGTCAGGGTTTCTCAACCTCAGCACTATTACCATTTGGGGCTGGATCATTCTTAGTTGTGGGGGGAGCTGTCCTGTGCACTGCACGCGTTTAGCAGTGCCCTCGGTCAGCAGCACCCATCTCCTCGAGTTGTAACGACCAAAAATGTTTGCAAACATGGCCAAATGCCGCTGGAGCCTGCAACTGGGAAACACCGTCCTAGCAATAATTCACACCAGTGATTCACTCAACATGTGTCCAATACCTAGTGTAAGCCAGGCCATATGCCAGGAATATATTGCTATTAAGACTAACTGGATACTTGACCTCATGGCGATATTTTTTTTCCTTTTGGAGCCTCAGTCTTCCCAACTGTTAAATGGGTATAGCCAGGTTGCTGACCAAGAGTTGCTATGAAGATGAAATAAGACTCGCAATTGCCTGAACCCTGGTGTGCAGATAAGCCAACGACTGCAGTGTGATAGGCCTGAGAAATGAGTCTGGGTGCTTGGGGAGAGGTGAGCCTGGGCAGGGACAGCTGCAGCTGGAGGGGTAGAGACAAGCCAGGAGGTCTGGGCAATGAGGGGCAGGCGGGAGGGGCCATGCTGGGCCCTGGAGGAAAATGGCAGGAGAAGTAAGCTGGGGAAAGGGTGCTGCAGGGAGAGCCAAGGGCAGTGGGAAGATGGGACCCAAATTGGAAAGGACAGAGACAGTGGGAGAGGGGTACAGAGTGACAGGGTGGGGTGGAAATAGGAGAGAGGCACAGACAAAGGGTAACCAGACAGACACATGCGTTTTGGTTATAAAGGGTTAAAACAGTAAACAAAGGCTCAAGCTCCACTTGCCAGGAGAGTACAGTGCCTGCCTCCTCCTCCCAAAGGGAGGGACAGGGACAGGGACAGGCGGCGCAGCAATGAAGGAAATGAGGCTTCTGAGTCTCACTCTGCGTGGTGTTATTACAGTAACTGTGGCGACATATTAAACACATTTGTAAGCAGCAGAGGGGAGCGTAGACGATGACTGGCTCAGCCCTGGGCGCCCGCCCCCAAGGGAAGTGCGAGTGGAATCAAGTTGAGAACATTTGCCCAACTTGACCGAGCAGCTCTTGAAACATCCCGCATCGCATTACAAGTCGGCAGCCTGAACACACAACTGAATGGACTTCCAGCGGGGCAGTGACGTTCTTGGGGAGGAGCAACCGACTCCAGAAAACTATCCTGCATCATATGAGGTGCATCGGCCACGTTTTAAAAATGCTAACACCTCACCCTGGCCGTGTGGCTCGGGTGGCTGGGTGTCATCCCGTGCACTGAAACCTTGCTGGTTTGATTCCTAGCCAGCGCACATGCCCAGGCTGCAGGCTCAATCCCCCAGAGGGGGAGTGCAGGAGGCAGCCAATTGATGTTTTGCTCTCACATGGATGTGTCTCTCTCTCTCTCTCTCTAAAAAAAAAAAAAAACTACCGTCTCGAATCTCGAGCCCATCCCTCTGGGAGCCTCTGACTTTATTAGAGCCGATCAGAACAGTGGAGGAACTGTACTGGCAGACGCAACGGGTCACGTTCCTGGTTCCACAAAGATCTTCCACAGCTCCTGCAGCAAACAGAGAAAGGCGAGATTCCCAGATGCCCAGAGGAGGCCTCACAATTTCATAAGGGACATAATTAGCAAAGAACAAACAACACGTGAGCCAGGGCAGCAGGCAAATGACTGCAGGAGCGGGCCCTTCCCCACGTCTCTGTGCTCTGGCTGTTCTCTCTGCTTCACTGTGGAGAAGTGGATGGTAGGTCCCAGCAGGAGTCCAGGAGGCATCAGATGCCACACGGTCAATAGGAACCAGGAAAGGGCAGCAAGCTGCCACAATTTCCCACCTGGGGAGGTCTTTAGTGCCCTGTACCGTGGCTGCTGAATTTAGAAGCAGCTGTGGTTGCAGGTGGAGAAGGTACAACACGCCAGGTTCTTAGTGGGAGCTCCATGTCCTGTTTGCTGTCTACCAGGAGGCTGACAAGCAGTGCGCTAAGGGGCAGGGAGGCTGCCCAGAGGCAGTGGAGCAATAAGCAGAGGGGGAAATTGGACGGGGAAGACTGACAGGGCGCATCTGAAATATGCTGTTGCAGAAACGCTCTACGAATAGCCTGGACTGCCAGAAAGATGAACACATGGGTCTTAGAGCAAATTAAGCCTGAAGCAGTGCTGGAGGCAGAAACGACACACTGAGCCACCCTCCTTCAGGCATATCACGAGGCAGGGCTCCTTGGAAAAGACAGGAATGCTGGGAAAAACAGAAGGTGGCAGGAAAAGAGAAAGGCCAAACATGAGAGGGACCGATTCCATGAAAGATGCCACAGGCCTGAGCAGGGCTGCAAAGGACAGGACACTGGACAGCACTCAGCCACAGGGTCACCAGGACTCGGGGCCAAGTCAACAGCCGTAACACATACACACCTCCTTGAAAACGGCAACCGCATAGATGCAGTGCTGCGCTTGCTTTGGGGAAGGACAGGAGTGTGAGGGAGAGGGCCCTGTGTCAGCCTCCTCCCCCCCTTTCCTCCTTAGGACCAGGCTCAGATTTCCAGACCCAGCGAAAGGGAGGCCACAGGCCGAAGGTAACGAACAAAAGACGTGAATTCTGGAGCTTTGGACGTCTGTGAATCCTGCTCCTGGTAACGTTACAGGATTTTCACGGGTAATTTTAACTTTTCAAGTTTTCTCCAAGTGCTGGGCTTAGAAACAGTAACAGGAGGTCAGTGGCTGTAGGCTGAAGCCCCAGCTCCGCTGCTCCCTGGCTGGGTGACTCACCGCGGCATTAACTGGGACAGGGATGATGTCATCGGGATGCTTACTAAGAGGCCTGATATGGTGGGACCCCATTGCGGGGTCAGAAGGCCATCGGTCACCAGACAAGCCTGCCTGGTCCGCAAGGCCAGCACATTTCCCCCGTGGAGATGCCACCATCAGCACCGGAAGTCCCTGCACCAAGATCTTCAACCCAACCAAGTGGCTCCCGCAACTGAGCCCCAACGGCCCACAGGGAAAGACTGCGCTGTGAGGTGACGGTTCACCTGCAGGCCCACCCCTGGACACGGTGACTTAGGAGCAGGGGAGACCCCATCACGGGCTTCACTAGAGAGAGCACGTTGCCGACTCAACAGCGTCCCGCCAGAGCACCCACCAGCTGCCGGATGCGCTCATACTCCAGGCGCTGCGGGAAGGCGGCTTCCACCGGCTCCACCGCGAAGCGCAGCTGGCCGTCCTGGAGCTGCTCCAGCTGCCGCAGGCAGGCGCGGAAGTGGTCGTAGGCCTCGCAGGTGACGTCCAGGTGACTCAGCGTGAAGTTCAGCCTGCAAACAAGCAGCCCACACACTGCTGTCCCCACTGCGGGCCTTCGTGCTGGTGGGTTTTCCGAGTGCCCACTGTGTGCCGAGCATCTGGGCGGCCGGGGAGGTGGACACGGCTACCACCTCCACTTTACAGCTGTGGAGACAGCCTCAGAGCTGAACGCACGTGCTCAAGTGACCCCATGGCCCAAGGAGCTACAAATTGGCGCACGAGGTGGACACAGACTAACATCTGAGGCCAGCACAGATCTGGGCATGGCTTGTCCATGACAGGGCAGTGGCACAGGGAGGGGCAGAGGCCTGGGAGAGCCTGTGGG